CCAGGGCACAGGCAAAGGAACTCGAGGAGAATCCTGGTAGTGTGCTGGGGGTCAGGACAGGAGGTCAGCACAGAGGAGGGGGGCTACACCTCACTGGTTCTCCCCTTCCCCCTCCCCCATGGCACCACAAGGCACGCAGCCGCATATCACCCGTGCCAGCCCTCACCTCCCGGCAACGTCGCCGCATTCTCAGCCACGCCATCTGGCGTGCCCGCCGCTCCCCAGAACACTGCGGCGGGTGGGGGGAGGGGGCAGCGGGGCAGGTGCCCACCCCAGAGCCAGGAAGAAGAGGCAGGTCCCCCTCCCCCAAGGTCCTTTAGGACTTGAGGTGGGGCAGGGGGCTGGGGAAGGGGGTGGCAGGTGCTCTTATGCTTCAGGAGGAAGCTTCAAGCATCCCTAACTGATGGAACAGGCGCCGTCTGGGCAGTGCCAGCCTGCCCCCTCCCCTTCCTCCTCCCCCAGCACAGCTAATGCCAGGAGCACAGGCCCTCAGAGGATCTCCAAATTCCTGCCTTTCCCCTCAAATCAGAGGTGGGGGTGAGAACAGGTTGCCCCGCCTGACGTTCCCGCCCTCATTCTCCACCTGCCTGCCCACCTCAGCCTGGGAGACCCCAGCAGATGGATTTATGGCTGTGGCCAGGGAATGGATACCTGGCTTCTAATCCACCTGCTCCCCACGGCTTGGCACTTTGGTGGGAAATAAAGTCTGCTCCAGCACACTTGCCCCCACCCGTCTTATTTGGGGCATGGTGGTGGTGGCGTCTGGCTAGGTGTCCTTCTGGGGGTCAGAATGGAGCGGAGTCTTTACAGATTTATGCGGGTATGTATTTATTTTGGTGAAGTATGGAGTGTAATGAGAGCAGTTTTATAGAACATGCATCCTGTCCCCTGAGCAAGATTCCCCTAGACTGCTCAGGAATGACCTGTCCCCTCCCTCTCTCTCTGCTCCACGCTGTCAGCCCCCCTCACCTCCCTGCCCCCTGCAGGACCTAAGCCTGCACAAAATGGCTGCCACCCCTCTGAGGCAGCCATTTTAGGTGCCCAGACTGTGGCCTCCCTTGGGATGGGGCTATGTCTCCATGGGAACCTCAGACCCTCAGCTCCTAGCTCCCTCCATGGGGGTGGGCAGCAGAAATGGGAGTCTTCCAGGCCTGGCCGAGGTGTTCACTATTCCCCTTTTCCTCTCAGAGACCCAGAGGGGACGAGGCCCCTCACCAACTCCCTTCCCCCAATGCCAGGGGGAGTAACAGATGGCATCTCTGGGTGTCCTTCTCCTTCCGTCTCCTTCCTTCCATTTCTGGCTGTTTCTGTCTCTCTGTCACTGCATCTCTGCATCTCTGGGTGTACAGAGGAGCATGTATGTCCCTGTATGTTCATGCTTGTTTGTGTGTATGTGGACACATGTGTGTTGTACCTCTTTCAAGCCTATGTCTAAGGCGGGCCCATCCCACACCGCCCTCTGTTCCAATTTTCTCCTGTTTTTTTTATTGTATCTTCTAAAAAAAAGTTGAAATGTGTCGAGTGAGAAAAACTTGTTCCATTTTTTCAAAGGAAGAAAAGACAGGGGCAGGAAACAGACTGAAAGGGATGAAGTTCCCTGTATTCCCAGGTACGCCCCCACCCCCACCCCACAGGCCTCCTTCTTTGGGGGGCTCACGGAGGCTTCTCAGACCCACAGAGCTGAGGTCATTCTTGACAGGAGGCAGGAGAGGGATGCAAGGACCTGTCAAGGACCTGAGCAAGATTCTGCCTCCTGCCTCCAACCTGGAGCTGATAGGGGCCTGTGAGGCTTAACCCAGCCCTCAGTGTCCAAGGAGAGGGCAGGGGATATCTTTCTACCCCAAAGAAGCATTCATTCAATTACTCATCCACTCATTCACCCACTGATTCAACAAAAACTCAGTTTCTATATAGACAAAGCATTCTGAATGTATGTGTGTGTGTGTGTGTGTGTGTGTGTGTGTGTGTGTGTGTGTAGGGTACGTTTATGAAATTAATATTGTTGATCATGTTACAGTTTACAAGGTGCTTTAATAAAAATGAGAGCTGGGGGAGGAGGGATCTTAGAAGAGGGTAAATGGAGTCAAATATATGGTGATGGAAGGAGAACTGACTCTGGGTGGTGAACACACAAGATGATATATAGATGATGTATTACAGGATTGTACACTTGAAACCTATGAATTTTACTAACCATTGTCACCCCAATAATTTTTAATTAAAAAATATGAGAACGGACATTTCCTGAAGGCTCATTATATTGCTGGCCCTGTGCTAAACTCATTACATGTAGTATCCCATTTAGTACTAACAACAGCTCTATGAGGTATGGCAATAATTATCCCCATTTTACAGATGGGGAAATCAAGACTGGAAGATGTTATGTAAGTCGGGTTGGCTAGGAATCAGAGCCCAAAGCATGTGCAGGTAACCAAACTGCCATACAACTGCTGACGGGAGGGGGGGGGGCTCAAGAAGGGCCACATGTCAGGATTGAAGACTCCACTCTCAGTAAAGGGACAGTAAAGCCCTTGAAACTGTGTCCAAAATCGGACAAGGGCCTGCCTGGTGTACCTGAGTCTCTGCCCCACCTGAGGCCTCTCTTTCTGCCATGACCAGGAGTCCCCAGACCATTTGCCCTAGGCAGGATTCTACCTCCTCAGACCCAGGACCCACCATCAGCTTCTCATGCTTGGAGACCTCTGAAGCAGATTGTGGGGCTGTAGAAGGAACACTGGACTGGGGTTCTGCTCTCCACTTGTGTGTCCTGGACAAGTCAGTTTCCCTCTGTGGGCCTCTGTGAAAGGGGGAATTGGGACTGTTCTTTCTGAGGCTCCTTTTGGTTCCTGCCAAGAGCCTCAGACAGCTCCATCTCCCCTCTCCAAGGTTTCCTTAGCCATAGTGTGTGCCTCTATTTAGAACCGAATTGGTTCTACCAAGCATCAGATCAGCGTCTTACCAGCCCAAGACCCCCTCTGGAGGTTCCCAGAGGGAGTAAACTATATCTGTACAGATTGAGGGTGAAGTCCCCGTCTTTGTACCCCACAGTACTTGGCACATGGTTGACATCAAAGTGTGTGTGCTTAAGGTATAACTGAAGTTGTCTGTGCATAGATAGGGTGGGGAGGGACAGGAAATATGGGTCTGAAACACACAGATGCCTGAATCAGGGTATGGGCAAGGGTCTCTCTACACCTGGCTGTGATTACCTGCTCACACACATGTATCTGAATAGGGGTGTGTATCCATTTACTGTGCCACAGAATGAGGAACAGGTGTGTGTGTGTGTGTGTGTGTGTGTATTGTGTGTGTGTGTCTGCGTATGTCTAAAGCTACCGCCCTCAACCTATGCCATTTGCATCTGTGTCTGGCCCAGTGAGAGGGTTGAAAGGTGAGCTGTAAGATAAAACAGCAGTTTCCTACCTTCTTTATCAAGACACCTGTCTGACCCACCTCCCCTTGGTCACTTCAGGACTGCTGGAGTTGGCTTCAATATTTCTTTTCTTTTCTTTTCTTTTCTTTTTTTTTTTTTGCAAGGGGAGGAGAATGCTTGGTCTCCTCCAGGAACTTTAGGCAATTCTCAGCCCCTTATCCCCTCAAATAAGCGAATCAGAAGTCCAGGAGAGAAAGGTGTTGGTGGGATGGTCACTTGTCTAGCAGGGGGAGGGGATGTTGGCAGGAGAGGACTGAGAGGTTTCAGGGTTAGGAAACCATACTGAGACCCTCTCTCCCACCCCCAGATGGTGGGTGCAGAGGCTTATCCCAGGGGTTCCCCACCCCAACATTCATAGGCCCCCAAACACACAAGGAAACCTCTCCCATCAGCTGACTCCACAGATATACACACATGTCCCCACAGACACACACGCCCATGCAGAGGCACAGACATCCAGGCAAGTCTTTCCTTTTCTCTGTCTTTCCCTTGGTTTGAATTTCGTTCAGCCACATATGCTGTGTGTGCGTGAGGGTGGGTGGGGGAGGGGCAGACAGGGATGAGGAATGGCATGGTGCCAACATCTACCTATGGGGCTTGGGCCAGGGATGCCCCCCACGCCTACCCTGGGAGGGGGCCTCAGCGGTCCTTTTGTGGCCTCAGGGATCCTCATGGAGGGTGGGGGAAAGCATAGAGGTCCTTTTCCAGACCCCAGGGTCTCGTCCCTGACCCACCTTTGGGGGCCTGTAAGAGGAAAAATGGACAGAGCAGGACCCTGGAGGGAACGTAGACTTTGGGGCCAAACCAAAACCCCAATTTCTAGCCTTGCTACCCCCTTGTTCCTATGTGGGGAGCTCTATATCCACGGGGGGCAACTCCTCCCACTTCCCTCTCAATCCCTGCTTTCTCAATCCCTGCTTTCCCTGCGTTGGGCGGGGAAGGGAGGGAGGCAGAGATATTTATTTATTTTCTTTATTTATTTAATTTTTTTTTTTTGGAGTAGAGAGTGACAGATGGCGGCGGGTCCCGGGGGAGCCGGCTCTCCCCCAATGCAGACGCATGCCAATCACCGTCTCTCATGTGATAGCTGCTGCCCGTGACGTGCCAAGCCCATATGGCCTGGCATAGAGGCTGGTACCCCGCCTGGTAGAGATGCCACACTCGCTCCGCGGTTCGCATGGCGCTCTGAAGACGCCGGCGCCCGCCGCCTTGAGGAGCCGCTGCCCCCGCTCCCTGAAGATGGGGGAACAATGAAATAAGCGAGAAGATTCCTCTTCACCCCCCTCTCTCTCTTGCCCCCCTCCCCCCTCCCCTCCCCTCTCCCCTTGACTCCTCTCCGAGGTAAGTTGTCCGAAAGAAAGCTAGATCGGACCCGCCGGTTGGGGGGGCGGGGAGCTGCTGCTTCGGCCGACAGGAGGGTCCCCAAATTCCCCCTTCCTGGGAGATGCCCCCTCATGGGGTGGGCATCGGAGGCGCCCCGGGTTTCCTCTCCCCTAGGAGCTGCAGCTCAGGGGGCTGCGGAGGGAGGCGTCTCTGCCTGCGATGGGTTGGGGGGGAGCAGGATCATGGGGGGGGGCGTGAAGAAGCTGAGATGGGACCTCCCCATGGTTGTCCTGGAAGAACCTGCGACCTTTCCCATCATCAAAAAAAGAGAGAAGCAAACAAACAAATTTGTATTTTCCCCCATCAATCCCGAAATACAACGAGATCTGAAGAACAGTGTGGGAGGGAGGCAGTTTGAAGCCAGGAAGGGGGTCCCTGACCGCAGAGGAGACGGATGGGACTTGATTCTCTCAGTCTCCTCCCCACGCCCGGGTTCCTCAGTCCTCGCCGCCCGGAGCCGGAGCCGGGAGCTGGGGACACAAGGCTAGAGGAGACGATCCTCCCGCCTCTGGAACTGGGGCTGCGGGGGTGGGGGCCGAGCTGAGGGCGGCGCGCGGCCAAGTTGCAAATTGGATTAGGGAGCGTGGGGGTGAGAGCCACGGGAGGGGTGGGGAGCGGGGCCGAGGGGCCGGGGCCGCCAGAGCCGCCAAGCGGGGCAGCTGTCCCCACCCGCGGCCGCCCAACCTTCCTCCACCGCCGGGAGAGAAGAGGCTTTCAGGGCGAACGCGCCACCTCCCCCGGCGAAGATATCTGTCCCCTAAAACCCCTTCTCGGTCCCTGTCCTGACCGGGAGAAAACCCAAACGCAGGGAGCGGCCCCTCATTCAGGCGCTGGGCGGAGTCGGGGCCCAGCGCTCGGGAAAGGGCCTGGGCCGAGATCCCGGGCGGACCCGCGGGCTGGCTGGGGCTGGGGCGGGTCTGGGCGGGGCAGGCGGAGGAGGTGGGCACCCAGGGCCCCCTAGTAAGGAACCCGCACGGGACTTGGGGGGTGGAGGTGGGTTGGGGGAGGCGACATGACCCCAGCGCGCCCCTCACTCTATGCTCTGTCTCCCCTTCCCGCCCTCCGGGCGCCTTCAGGCACCATGCTGACCCGCCTGTTCAGCGAGCCTGGTCTCCTCTCGGACGTGCCCAAGTTCGCCAGCTGGGGCGACGGCGACGACGACGAGCCGAGGAGCGACAAGGGCGACGCGCCGCCGCCGCCTCCGCCTCCGCCGGGACCGGGGGCTTCAGGGCCCGCCCGGGCCGCCAAGCCAATCCCTCTCCGAGCAGACGAGGTGCCGGAGGCCGCGCTGGCTGAGGTCAAGGAGGAAGGCGAGCTGGGGGGCGAGGAGGAAGAGGAAGAGGAGGAGGAGGAAGGGCTGGATGAGGCAGAGGGTGAGCGGCCCAAGAAGCGCGGGCCTAAGAAGCGCAAGATGACCAAGGCGCGCCTGGAGCGCTCCAAGCTGCGGCGGCAGAAGGCGAACGCACGGGAGCGTAACCGCATGCACGACCTGAACGCGGCGCTGGACAATCTGCGGAAGGTGGTGCCCTGCTACTCCAAGACACAGAAGCTGTCCAAGATCGAGACGCTGCGCCTAGCCAAGAACTACATCTGGGCTCTCTCGGAGATCCTGCGCTCGGGCAAGCGGCCCGACCTGGTGTCCTACGTGCAGACGCTGTGCAAAGGTCTGTCGCAGCCCACCACCAACCTGGTGGCGGGCTGCCTGCAGCTCAACTCGCGCAACTTCCTCACCGAGCAGGGCGCTGACGGCACGGGCCGCTTCCACGGTTCCGGAGGCCCGTTCGCCATGCACCCCTACCCGTACCCGTGCTCGCGCCTGGCGGGCGCACAGTGCCAGGCGGCGGGCGGCCTGGGCGGAGGCGCGGCGCACGCCCTGCGGACCCACGGCTACTGCGCCGCCTACGAGACGCTGTATGCGGCGGCAGGCGGCGGCGGCGCGAGCCCGGACTACAACAGCTCCGAGTACGAGGGCCCGCTTAGCCCCCCGCTCTGTCTCAATGGCAACTTCTCGCTCAAGCAGGACTCGTCGCCCGACCACGAGAAGAGCTACCATTACTCTATGCACTACTCAGCGCTGCCCGGCTCACGGCCCACGGGCCACGGGCTGGTCTTCGGCTCGTCCGCGGTGCGCGGGGGCGTCCACTCCGAGAATCTCTTGTCTTACGATATGCACCTTCACCACGACCGGGGCCCCATGTACGAGGAGCTCAACGCGTTTTTCCATAATTGAGACCTCGCGCCCGCCCCTTTCTTTTTCTTTTGCCTTTGCCCGCACCTCTGTCCCCTGCCCTCCGAGCGCAGGGGCACCCCAACCTACCCTGGCGCTGGGCGCGGGGTGCGGGCCGCGGGTTCCGCCGCTCTCCTGGGCAGCGCGGTCCTTTTACCTGTGGGTGGCCCGTCCCAGGGGCCTTTCTTCCCCCAGGAGACTCGCCTTTTCTCTCCCCAAGGGGTTCCCTCCTCCCCTTTCCCAGGGAGTACTTCTCCAGGGACCCTTCTTCCGGCATTCCCTGGAGACCCCCACCCCAATTCCCAATCCCTACACTTAGGTTTCCTTCCCCCCTTCCCCCTGCAGGCCCAGAGGCGTTGGTAAGGGGGCAGCTGAGCTGTGGGATAGTTTCCCTCATTATTATATTATTATTATTATTATTAATTTATTTTAAATCAGACACCGAGCTGCTGAGGCAGAAAGGAGCCGGGCGTCCCTCTTTCCTGAAGAGGGCAGAAGTCAGGGTGCCCAAGCCTGAACCTTGAACGCCCTCACCCCCAACCCCTAGTCTCAGCGTTTTGTGATTTTAATTTTGGCGGGAGGAAATGTGGATTGAGAGGAAAGAGAGAAGCCAAGACAATTTGTAACTAGAATCCGTTTTTCCCTTTTTTAAACAAACAAACATACAAAAAAAAAAAAGCAAATAGGCGACGGAGGCTGAACGCAGAGTCCAGATCGGAGAGAAAACGCAGTAAGAACTTTTAGAAGCAATAAAAGGCTAAAAAAAAAATTACTACTACCAATAATAAAAAGACACAAATATCTATGCAAGGAGGTTCTGACTGAGCCTAGCGGCCCGGCCCGGCCCCGGGATGCCCCTCCTGGCCCGCGGGCCGCGCCGCCCAAGCGCGGATTTGTGCACTTTGGTGAAGTGGGGGCCGGCGTCGCCCCCTCCTCCTCCCCAGGTTCTTACAATCAGTGACTCGGAGATTTGGGGCCCCAGTGCCACTGCCCTCACCCGCCCCATCCCCGTTGTGCGTCATGCTGTTTTTTAAAAACCTGTTTCCAAATTTGTATGGAATGGCAAACTGTTGGGGGGGGTCGGTTTGGGGAGGGAGGGTTTGCATGAGAGACACACACACGCACAGCACACCGCACGCACACGCAGGCCCGGCGCGGGCGGCCAGGGGCAGGAGGAGGAGAGCTCGCCGGACCCCCTCCCCGCAGGCACCTCTATCCCTTCCCGTGGTGAGGGTGGAGACCGAGATCTGGGGGCAGCCCCTCCCTTGCCCGGCTGTGCCCCTGCAGGAGTCAGACACCCGGCGATTTCCGGTGGCTTGGAGAAGGGGTTTTGTCCGAGTTGTCCTCTTGGCTCAGGCTGGCAGGTGGGCAGGGAGAGGGCAAAAGAAGAACCTCTCCCCACCGGAGGCAGGAGATCAGGCATCCAAACACACGATGCAAAAATGCAAACCCACAGGCGACACACCCACACACTCACCCACACGCTCACACGCAATTTTACCTTCCTCTTCTAGCGAAGATGAAACTCCCGTCGGACACCGGAAGTGCATTGCGTGTTTCTGTTCAGTTTAATGACGATTAATAAATATTTATGTAAATGAGATGCAAAGCCGGACCCGATTTCTCACGGTGGCCTCATTTCATTCGGGGGATTGAGCTGGGGCTCCGAGCGGGTGATGGAGACAGAGTCAAGTGACTATGCAGAGGCCAGGTAGAGGGACCCTGGACATTACTGGGTGGGATTCCCACCCTATAAACCCCTTCATATCCACCCGCTGGGCACCCAAACAGCTACACTCACTGCCCCTCCCAGACCTTACACATACACACACGCCCCCAGCACAAAGCATTGCACTAATCTCCTTACACTCTTTCAGTTCCCAAACATGCACATGCACCTCCATTGAAAACAAAATATCTTTTCATTAATGAAAAATGACCAAGTTGGGAGCAGCTGGTCATTTTTCTAATCCTCTGCACATTGTTGCAAAAAAACTAAATGAGCAGAGATAAGGAGACAACTATTTGAGCCAGCAAGAACATTTTAAAATAAAATAATTATAAGGTCATGAGGACAAAACATTAATGGAGGAAGTCTTTTCAGTCTTAAATTTGTGCTTCAGTGGACTCAGGGGAATGGGTCATTTTTAGCGTCAGGAATGTTGAAACTTGTAAGGGTGTTGCTGAGGTTAAAGGAACACCCCAGAGCTCTATGAGGATGCCTGAGCCTAGGCACCCACCCAACCATGAGCTTTCCCTGCCAGGGCAGTGGGAACGCCCCTGGTCCACACCAGGACAGCCTCCTTCCTGCCAGGTGAGGCTCTGCACAGAGGGAAGCCCTCAACCTCCAAAGGCTGAGAAAGGGCTGGTGGAGGAGCCTGTCCTGCCCAAGCCACTTCCCCATCTCAGACAAGGTAGCCTCACCATTCTCTTTGTCGGAGCCTCGGGGCAGAAACATTTCTGAATTGACTTCCTGAAAGGACCTCCCCCCCTCACTCACATACACATATCAGTGCCCATTGAACTCCTGGAATATTTGGAGAGGGAGCTAAATCCTAAAGATCCCCATCCCAAAGCCTGAACACACTTAGGAGTACTGGGCTGTTTCTAATGCTGTTTACTTAAATTATTGTGTGTGTTGGTTTTTTTTTTAAGCCACTGTTGAGCATTTTAAGGCTGAAATGGGGTTGTAGTGTTAGGTTTGAGACTTTAAGACCAGGCGTGCTTTTAAAGATTGGCTCCAAAATCCCCAATTGAGAGCGCCCTGACAAAAAGTGGGAAAAAGAAAGATAGCTGAAGAAGGAAGCCCTAAATGCAAATGAGTGGATCTGATTACACTGTCTGACCTTCAGCTTGGCGGCCCTCCTAGATGACCACCTCCAAAACCCCTCAGTCTCCCGTAGAAACTATGCCCTCCCTGCTCTCCACCTCAGGACAGCAGCCGGCTGAGAGGTGACAGAACCGGGAGCTGTCCGATTCTGGGTGCTGACTCGTGCAGCCTCGCGCCTTCCCTCCGGAGAGGGACCTGCGCGTGTCTGGCCCCGGGGAGTGCAGCACAGCGTGAGGCCCTTCTCAATGCCCGGCCGGAATTCTGGGCGGAATTCTCCCGCATTTCCCGGAGAATTGCACAGGAATTCTTTCAAAAATTCTCTGCCTTCTTTGGAATTTTCATAAGATAGCCTCTCTAGAGAGATTAAGAACTGGGCCCTTCATCCCTCGAACCCACCCCTGTCGGTGGTCTAAAGGGGTCTTGTAGACCTCTTAATCACACCTATTCTTGGGAGAAAGGAGTTAACCCACCTTTCTTCTTCCCCACTTCTTGCGTGGAGTATGGAGCAAGGAGCACATCCCAGACCCAAATCTGAAGGAGTCTGGTCTGCTCATGGCATGGGGCAAGGCCTGGCACGGGCAATTGGAGAGAGAAGCAACTCGGCACCCGTTTCAAGACCTGAGTCTTAACCTGCCCTGAGAGCAACGTTAATTGGGCTTCTCTCCCACTCAGCCGGTTTTCCAGAACCCGCTCTGACGTCCCGGCTGGGCAGCATCCAGGTGGCTTAGGGCTGGATGCAAAAGACCCCTCCATCTATCTCCCCTGTCCAGACCACAGACTCCTAATCTAAGGCTTGCTCTTCAGGCTACTCCACGCGGCTCAATTCTGTTTTTAAAGCCTGATTCTGGCCCCTTTTGAAGGACATTGACGACTCTTGGGCCACTGCATCTGTGGTCGCCTCAGGCGGGCGTGGGCATCTGGGCCCCTTTTGGGTTGAGGATCCGGAGTGCCTTGGCTTTTTGTGAATCTGTCCACAGGAGCTGCCTTTTTCCCAATTCCTGACCCTTCTCCCATACTCCCTGCACTCTGGCTGCGCTCTATCCTCCCATCATCCTCCTCCTTCCCTGGTGAGATGGTGAGATGAGCAGGAGAAGAAGATGTGCACAGACACGAGGCCCCAAACTCCCCCTCGCAGGTCTTTTTCTCCCTCTTGCTCTCCCGTTCGCATTCACACACAGGGAGAAGCTCCAGGAACAGAAGGAGGTGTGGGGGAGTAGGGGGAGGAGAATGCACAACTGGGCCAGAGTGGCGGGAGGGAGAGTGCAAGGGAGAGAAGTCGCAGAGAGGACACCCTCCTTGCCCCAGCCTGAGCAGTGGGGGTCTCTAAGGACGCACCAGCGGCTCTGTTCCAACCCTTGGGCTGCTGAACCCAATGGCTGGAGCCTGGGTCAATCAGGAGGGTGTCTTTCACTTGATTTTCCCACCCGCATCCAAAGTCCAGTATTTGGAAATGACAGGGAAAAAAGAGATGTCTGAATGCAGGCCATTTTTCCATCAGGAGGAAAGGAAGGAAAAGCCTTTGCTGCTTCTCCCATCTCCGTTTAACCCCATTCCAGCCGCGATCTGGATGGTAAGCCCCTGACCCCAAGTGACTCTCCAATGAACTCCCATCTCTGATTTCATCACCCAGAAGAACAGCCCAATTAACCACTGAGCACGATCCAGGGAAACTGAGCCCCATTGGAGTCAGCAGCAGGAAAGTCCTCACACTCCCTGGACTGCAATGGGTTGTGTTGTTTTTCTCTTTTTCCCTTTGATGGGAAAGTCCACAAGCCTGTGGGTGCAAGGATCTCCCATAATGGTCAGAGATTTCTTTCCCTCTTGGGTGACCGTTGTTTCCTCCTCTTCCGCAGAATCTGTAACCCAAAGTTGCCTGCTCCTTGGAGGAATCTGTTGATTTGAGGGGACACTGAAACTGAAGGATAAGGATAGATGCCACAGTTTAGTTCTCCAGGAAAGAAAGAGATATGCAGGCCAGGGCTGATCAGCCTTGGCCTCGATCTCCACTCTCAGGTCCCTCGTGTGACAATAGGGGGTCAGCCCAGGACTCCACACTTGACCTGCTCCTATGTGCTCAAAGGAGAAAGCTTCTTTTTTCGAAATGTGGGAGGGGGCAGAAAGACCTTGGCTGTCATAAAAGGCTTCCCAGTTCACAGCCCAGGACACTGTCACTTTTCTTTCTTTAGGGTTGGGGACACTCAGGCACTGGCCACAGGCCTAGAGGGGAATTGATGACCTGGACTCTGAGAAACCTTGAAAATCTGCTCCTTTTCCAAATCCTGAAGCGGCTTCTGTCTCACATCTTTAAAAATTTTGGACAATTTTCCTGGTGAGAAATGGTAGGAAAGGGCGCAGACACTTCCGGAAGGCCGTTCTGCTCTCTGAAACTTTCTCTATCCTAGGGCACTGGGATAAGAGCACCCTGCTCTCCCGGGAGTGTCAGCACAGAAAGCCCGGGACCAGAGCCGGGCTCACAAGAAGGAGGGTGAAGGGTTGAGGGGAGAGGGGGCGGAATGCTAGGCACTGGGGAGCTCGGCTCCTCAGTGTGGGGAGGAGAATCTGGGTCAGAGGGGAAAGGGTGAGGGGCCCCCTTGACACTGGCTGTGCCAAGGGAACTGGGGCACTGCGCTGGGTGGAGAAATTGCCCAGATGTACTCCCGGGTGCGGCTCTGGCGCTGCCAACTCGCCTGACCGCTCCAGCGCAGGAGCGCAGCGCTGTCTCCCCTGGCAGACTAGGGTTGCCGGTTCCATACGCGGAGTGTGTGCCTGGTGTTCGGTTATTCGAACTTAGCTCTCAGCCTCGCTCCACCTCTGTCTGCGTCTCATTCCTCTTTTCGGAATTAATTGCATTAGGAACGGGTCTTTCCGGAGCGCTTCCGCCTCCCGCCCCAGGCTGCCCTGGCCAGGAGGCCAAGGCTGCGAGGTCAGGTCCCGCCAGGACGGAGGGAGCCCCCAAGTCCCTTTGGGGACCCGCATGCCAGTTCCTACCCTCAGCCAAGTCTTCGCCAAGGGCACAGCTGGGCGGGGTCTGGGCAGTCCGCCCGGCTTGGGACATCTGTTCTCGCCAGAGTCGCATTAAAGGCGAGGGATGGGGGTGGGGGCTCAGAACCAGCCCCTCAATCCCGAGCCGTTGCCTGCTTTCTCGACCGCAGGCGGGGGCAGCAGGGGACACTGCACTCGAATAGGTTTTTCTTTCCCTTTGGGAAAAGTGAGAGAATCGGTGTGGGGCAAGTGGGGTTTTCTCTCTTGCCTTCATCTCTCTCACTCCCCAATCAGATGCCACATGGGGCCTCACTCCTGGAGGGCAACAGGGTACTTTGGCCCCACGGGAGCTGTTTGGGAGCCCCCGAAGGCGCAGCGCCTGGGTCATGCGGAGGCTGCGGGCCCGCCAAATGTGGAACAGAACCCGCTTGCAGCGAACTCGCGCTTGTCTTTGCTCCAAAGCCAAAGCCAGGGCGCCGCGCAGGGGGAGAGTTAAAAACAACTCAATTAAAACATCGAAAACATTTTGGTTTATATTGAGGGGAGGGCGGTGCTTTTTAAAAAAAAATATGAGAGGAACCACAAAGCCCCTAAGCAAAACCAAACCCAAATCCTTAACTACTGATCATTTTGTAGAAAAAGAAACAAATCTCTCAGACACTTCTCCCTCGGTGCTGCCACTAAACAGCTCCCCAAGCCCGGCGCCTGGACACCCCTTCCCCACCCCAGCGCCCTGGCGCCGAGCCCAGGTCGCCCCCTGCCCACCCTTCGCTCGCGCGTTGGTGCCAGTCTGTGCCACTCAGCCGGT